CTGCTTGGCTAATCTTAGGCAAACTTAGAAAGGGCAAGTGATCAGTTTTTAATAAGAGAGGTGTCAGTGCTTAAGCCTTAAGACTCGTCCTTAAGACAAGGAGATCTGGAAGCTTGGATGTAGAAGTGCCCTGGAGGTGACCGGATCCTGTACCTTTAAGAGTGGCACAGATGGGAGACATCCAGCATACCTGGCTTTTCCCAGCACTGGAATGTAATGTGCACTGCTGAAATGTAAAAAGCCACATTTGGTGGAAGTTTCCTCTTCATGCAGTTCCTAAAAGTGCAGCATCCAGAGAAACAGCTGTGTTTGCCTGCTGCAGCAAAGACACCAAGAAGCCTTGTAGCACCTTAGAAGACTCATGCATTTTTTAATGGCACAAGCTTTTGTGGATTAGTGTCCCACTTACATCAGACGCACATGATGTGCTGCCCTCAGTTGAGACATGTATATACACCAGGGTTGGGGAACCTCAGGCCTGAGAGCTGAATCTCTCTATCTGGTCATCAGGGCTCTAAATCGCTCTATATGGATCATCGCAGTTCAGTTCAGGGCCACTCCAAAGTTCCAGATCTGACACATCTGGGACCTGCTGGTGGAGGGCAGGTTAATAATAATAATAATAATAACAGCCTTCCCAGAACCAGTTGCCCTCTAGTTATTGTTGGACTCCCTTTCCCACAAGCTCTAGCAAGTATGTTCAATGGCAGTGAATGATGGGAGTTGTAGTGTAGCAACATCTGGAGTGCACTAGGTTTGGGGAGGCTGCTCTAAAGACACTGGGAAACCCCGTAGACAGTGGCACACAGTGCATATCCACAATGGGGTACACATGAGGACACAAGATGTCTCTGCACATAAAGTGGAAATCTGCTTTGTGGGAGAACCGATCATTTTTTGTCCATGCAACAAGCGGCTAATTCATTAGGACTTTCCCATTCGCCTGATTATAACATCGTTAAAAAAAGATTTGAGGATGCAAGTCCTTGTGATAAAGGTCTTATCAAAGTCTCCCTGGATGCACAAAGATATTCAATAATCTTTTAACTAAGGCATCCTGCCAGCATCCTGTTTATGTGCAATACTGTGTCCTAATAGCAATTTTCTTTTTTGCTGTGTGGATAATGCAGTGTGGCTTATGTGGTATGGGTGATGCCATGAAACCGATGGGGTAAAGTTGTCCTGCCTCTAAAAAAAACACATTGTGGAGAAATAATTAAGTCCTAAGGGAATCTGAGCTGCAGCAAGCAGATATAGACGTAATCCAAGCAATATGTGTGGCTCTGAGCTTGATACCTGCTAAAACAGGCAAGGCGGATCTGATTGTCTGCAATGCAGCTTTCAGACTCTGCTGTGGAGTATCAAATACAGGAATAACAACAAGTTCAGAAGAAGAGGAATAAATACACAGAACAGTCAGCTCGATTTCTCCCCACATGCATAGTGGCAAAGGCTTCCTTTTAGCCAGAAGAAGCCATTATTTTCTGTGTAATGATATAATCACGATAGCTAGTTCATGCCATCTGAATGTTTAAGAAGTGGGTTCTTATTAGCTTCCTCCTGGACTGGCAACTGAAATGACATTGAGACCAGCAAATCAAACCCTGGCTCAGCCACTACCTGAGCCACCATCTGGCTCAGTCTGTTTCCCTTTCTGCTATTCAGTTTTTTAAAAATTTTGAATTATAACTGTGCAGAATAAAAGATCTCATATTCTAAAACAGTTGTCAGTGGGAACTTTGCTGAGCAGCTCCAGGGGAGCAATTTTCATCCAGGTCAGCCTCCCAGTGGCTACTATTTATATATTTTTTTAAGTGCACATTAATTGCAGAGACCCATGTGCAGCAAAATCCTATGCAGTTTTACTTGGATGCAAGTTCCACTTCTTTCAATGGAACTTAGGGCACTTCCAGATTGTCACTAATTTTGGGTGATATACTGGCAAATTCAGGTTGCTGCATTAAAGTCGATTGGGAGCTATTGTGCAACAAACCTGGTTTCACGACACATCAGAATTTTTGCAGTAAGGAAAGTGATAGGAAAATGCACTGGAAAGTGTGGGACAACACTTGCTTGATGCATTGGTGTCTAACATTTCTGCAAACAAATCAGGATGAATGCTTAATAAACAGGTCACCTGGAAGTGACCTTACTCCCTAGTAAATGTGCAGCTTCAATAGTTTAGTTCCTAAAATCCCACCTCTCTGTGTCTTAGTCCATCTATTCCTCTCTGTAATGACACAGGCCTGCCTTGCAGGTTTGTGGTAAGAATTATTATGAGGACAATGCCAAGCACTTTGAACACTCATAAGGCGTAATATGGACGCATAGGATTATATTCAATATGAAAAAGGTAAAAGATGGTTAAGTCCAGTCAGTCTTGACTATGGGGTGTGATGCTCATCTCGCTTCAAGCTGAGGGAGCTGGTGTTTGTCCACAGACAGATTTCTGGGTCATGTGGCCAGCATGACTAAACCACTTCTGGCGCAACGGGACACTGTGATGAGTGCCAGAGAGCACGGAAACTCCGTAGCACTAAGTAACCATTCCATCCATGCAAGTATATTTGCTTGTGTAATGGGACTCCCCCCTCCTCCCCCCAAGTGCCCCTAAATCTGTTATGGGGTTTCCCCCAATCCTTTGGAGCACATTTGGGGAGCACATGGGGGTGCATGCAGGGGGATGAGATGGGGGAGTCCTGTTGCATGCCTGGAAATCCTTGCGCTGATGGGACTGTTAGTGCTACATGGGATACAAATATTATTATTATTAACATTATTGCACATTGCACAACTGTGCTGCCATATGAGGGCTGTGCCACTTTGGCAACGGAGGGATGGGGCACCTGACCCCACCTGAATCAGAACCTTCTTTGCCTCATACAACCTGCAAATATGCAACAACCATTTAGTGTTTTAGTGTTTTAATGGAAGCCGCCCAGCGTTTCCTTCAGGCATAAGATCTCATTTGGCTTGGACTAGTCCAGATCACTCCATGTACTTTTTCAGTTAACATAGGGCTCTGGGTGATGTTGAACAGCTTCAATAGGTCAAAGGTGGCCCTCCAGATGTAGCTGGACTCCAACTTTCATCTGCCCCAGCCAGCATGGCCAATGGCCAGGAATGGATGGAGCCTTAGTCCAACAATATCTGCCACCCTTGCCATAGGTGTTCAATAGCAGAATAGCTGCTGGTGTCTCTTTAGTTTGGAGTGCAGCTCAGAGACAGTCACATTTTAGAAGATAAGACTATGCAAATCTAACTTAAGCATTCATTTTCCAGCAACACCAGGGGTTCCAGATGTTGTCATATAGGGACTCTTTGTTAAACTGGTCTGGCAACAAATGGACTAACATGCTTCAGGTACTTTTTGATTCCAATCTTTCACCAGTATTGACAGCTCCAAAAAGCATATGGGCCAAATATTTGCAAAATGTATGGAAGCAATTGAAGAGCAGTCTGCAGAACTGAGTGCATTTCACTGGGTTTTCAAGCTAAGCACTCTCCTGTGCTCCAGTCATTCTGCCATCACATCTCCACTGGAATCACCGATGACAGAGCAAATCATTTGGTTTATGGCAAACTTCTCTTTTGTAAACATTATGCGTGGATACACAAAGGAGGAAAGGTTCTGATGCACCATAGGAGATATTATTGCCCTCCAGAGCCCTTTTCTCATTGATCCAAGAGAGCACAAATAATTTTTGAAGTGCATCATCATCCAAAAGCTATTGCTGTCATTCTCTCCCCCACACTCCCGCTACTTCTGTTCAGTTTAGGGCCAAAAATAATGTTACACAAACAAACAAAAACCAAAACAGTTGCAACAAATATAGGCTTCAGCAAGAAATGTCTCTATGCCAGCACACAGTCCTGAGCAATAAAGCAACCAATCAAGAGTTCGCGCATTGGAATGAAAGGAAGAAATTGCCTGTAATCAATCCTGAGATAAACTATAAGAACAGAGGTTGATATATGATTGAGATTGCCAGTGGCAACTTGAAGCACTCATTATATAGGAAAGGAAGACTCAGAGTAGATGTTGCATGAAGTGTAGCATTCGCTCAGTGGTGTGGGCTTTCTTTTAAATAAAAAGTAGCCTAATAATAATAATAATAATACTATATTTATATCCCACCGATCTGGCTTGGTTTCCCCAGCCACTCTGGGTGGCTCCCAACAGAATAATAACAATAACAATAACACAGTGGTACCTCAGGTTACAGACGCTTCAGGTTACAGACTCCGCTAACCTGGAAATAGTACCTCAGGTTAAAAACTTTGCTTCAGGATGAGAACAGAAATTGCGTGGCGGCAGTGCTAAAGCTAAAGTGGTACCTCAGGTTAAGAACCGACCTCCAGAACGAATTAAGTTCTTAACCCGAGGTACCACTGTAATATAAATAAATAAAACATTAAACATTAAACACTTCCCTAAACAGTGCTGCCCTCAGATGTCTCCTAGAAGTCAGGTAGTTGTTTATTGCCTTGACATCTGCTGGGAGGGCATTCCACAGGGCGGGTGCCACAACCAATTCGGCCCTCTGCCTGGTTCTCTGTAACCTCACTTCTCACAAACCTGTCCTAATCTCTGAGCTATCCTGCAGCCTTCAGGTATGTGGTGGACAACACAGTCCTCTTCTGAAGTAAAATTCAACAGCTAAGTTGGGTGGCTTTTGTACATGGAATGGCAGTGAGGGTGCCATTTTGCCCTTTTGTCCTTAGGCTGACCTTAGGAGTTGGGTTGGTGTTTCAGCATCCTGGAGTAATCTTGCTTTGAAGCTGGCATTACCACCCCCCGCCCCCCACTAGTTTCTCCATAATGCAGCTGCCTACACAATTAGTAGATTTGTGAATAAATTCTTGACTAGAAAGTTATGGGAACATAGGAAGCTGCCTAATACAGAATGAGACCATTGATCCGTCTAGCTCAGTCTTGCCCACATTGACTGGCGGTGTCTCTTCAGGGTTTCATACAGGAAGTCTTTCCAAACCCTACCTGGAAATGCCAGGGATTGAACCTGCGACCTTCTGCATGAAAGGCAAATGCTCTACCACTGAGCTACAGTCCTCTCCCTACATCTCCTCTATAGGAAATTGCTTCTTCAAGGATGTCTCTGCTTGCTTGGGAAGGGGGAGCACCTCACAGTCTAAAGCCATGGTGCCCATCTTCATCTACCAAAATACAGGAGCGGGCGTGTTCACAAGCACACTGCATTTTGTTTTTTGAGCTGGAAGATTCTCCGGAGGGCTACTTAAATAAGAGCTGTCCTATTTCTGAAAATATAACTGACTGTAGATTCATCCAGCGTCAACGCATCCTATCCGAAAGTCAGCATCAAAGACGGGAAGCCTTTGTTTAGGGCACAGAGAGTGCAAATAGCAGCTGAGAGCCTCCTATCACATGGGGGAAGGAGGACAAAGGCTGACTGCTCTCCCTTGGCCGTGCGTGTGTCACGACTTGCCGTGTGAGCCTGCAGAAAGAGATGAGAAGGGAACGCAATAATGGAGGGACAAGGCAGCAGCTTCCTCCAAGGAAGGAGTAATCGCTGACAGCTGGGACTCAGCCCTGAGTCAAGATGCTGCCATGAGAACTGTTGTTGAAAGGAAAAGGCACAGCTGCAGCTTCTCCCCTGCTTTTCTCAGACCCAGAGGGGTTTCACTGGAAAATTTTGTGGTAGCGTGCGGGCACACATATACATGCACACACACACGGGATACATTTTGGGCTGGGAAGCAGGGCAGCTGGAGGAGGAAGCAACAAGGTTTTATATATCATGCTATCAGCCAACACAGTGCTTTCGAGAGCAAAAGAGCAACAGAAGCAAAAGATGAACGTCTCTGCCCCAGAGACCTTACAGTTTAAATGCAGGCATGGGATGGGGAGGAGAGACAAGTTTTCTTGGCAGCAGACATACAGACTATATTGAGACTGGAGAAGGGAAGCAATGAGGATTATATGATGGGATGGGGAGAAGACTAAAACAAAGATACATGGGGATGACTATGTCCCAGTGCAATCACAGTAAGCATTTAGACTTTCTCACTGTTAAGGATAAGGGCTGGGGGTAGAGATGTCATCTGTGGAAGATGATACCTTAACACAGAGCTCCCTCCTTTCTGGAGATTTCTTCACCCTACAGGAGCCCTAGTTGGGATAAGCCTCACAGATCTCTAGGTAAGAAAAGGGGCTCCTAGACTCCTTTCTCTCTTCAAATTCAACCTTAATTTCTGCGGTAACACTAAGCCCCTCGAGTGCAGAGATGTTGGGAGGAGCCAGGTAAAGACTTGGAAAACATTACTGCAACAGCTGAACACAACTCTGAAGAGACAGATTTCAAAAATGGGATAAAACCCTGGCCCAGACTGTAAGAGTTGAGCTGGGTTTGGGGTCAAACTCACCCAAGTTGGTATTTGGCCTTTTGTGGCATTAGCCTAAGCCAAAGTAGCTCCTGCATTGAGTGTAAAAGCTATATAGCATGTGTGTGCACATATATATGTATATGTATATGTATAGTGTGTGTGTGTATATATATATATATAATCTACAACAGACTCATCATTAATGATGTGAGGGGACCCTGGGAAGTGGATTAGCTGATGTACCTCTTTGTGAGAGTGTCAGTGAATTGGCCGTACGTCTTCCTGGTTGAAAACGGATGGGCCTTAATTCCTTTCCCCAGGTATCCCATATCAATATCCATCCATGAGAGGGAATATAGTGCAGTGATAAGCATCCAGTTTTAGAAAGGCTGCCTTCAGATAATTGATCGTAAGTTTTCTTCCTTCCTGTTTATTTTTTCTTTCTTTTTGAGGCTGTCTTGATATAAGAGACTACTTCTAATCTAGAAGAAGAATGCCTAATGTAACAGTAAAATGAAACAGAATTCCAGAACAGCCTTAAGTGCTTTGAGGAGCTGCTCAAGATAATGGGCTTAATTCATCTTTCTTTCCTCTGTATTAGTTAGGGTTGCCATATTTCAAAAAGTAAACTTGTTGAGCTTTTTGTAGGAGGAACCCAAAATTGTTGAGCTTTTTAAAAACAAACCCCAAAGGAGTGCCAATTCCGCCTTTGAAATCCCGATAATCTCTGGGAACTTCCAGACCAGGCAGCCCTAGTATTTGTAGGTGATTTTATGATGCTGATGCTGACTCCCTAAATATATTGTAAAACTGGACACGTAAAGAGTAATTCACTGCTAAAAGACTGTTTGCCCTTGAATTTATATTTTATTATTATTTCAAATGTTACCCATTTCATGAATGTAAACATATATACAAATAGAAAATTAAAGGAGTGCATCATTTTGGCAGCTGGGACAGTAAAGAACCTTCCCTGAAATTATTCAATTTAAATGGGAGGGGAAATCATAGCACTAAGGCAGGGATGGAGTATGTGTAGCCCTCCAGCTGCTCTTGAACTGCAACTCCCTTCAACCTCCAGCCAGCAGAACCACTGGGCAGGGATGGTGGGAGTTGTTTAACAACAATCTGAACTGAGCCCATGGTATACAATATATGAATAATCTTGAACAAATGATAGAATTATTGGGTTTCAGGGGGTGATATCTCATGAGGCCTTCTAGTTTTCTTTCTTTACCAAAGCAGGATCCTTAGTTTACCTTTCCCCTACTAAACATATACAACACATCCAAAGACCACTATATTCAAGAGGGAGCAAGGGAACATAGGCAGTGATGGCATTTCACCTCCTTCCTACAGGACTGGCGTAGGGCACTTGCTGAGGCCCACATCCTTATATAGGGCTGCTCTATTGTTCTTTCTCCTCCTTGCCTTCATTGTCTTTGAACATACAAATGGTGAGAAGGGCAAGGAGGTGGAATAGAACCCCCCCACTTGCCTTGAGCTCACCTTCTGAGCAGTTGTGCAGATTTTGCAGTAGTTTTGCAAAGTTTATTCCATTCCTCAAACCCTTGGAGACACCAGTCCTGTCATTAACCATCACCATCTCAACCACATCCTGTTGAAGAGTCTGCAAAGAATATCAGGATTTTTACACAAGGAACAGTTTTGCACTCAGTTCCGTTTGGCACTGACTCTCTGAGCCTGCTCTTGAGACCAACATCATTTATAAGGAAGGGATGAAAACTTCAAAGACATTAACACCTGATGTTGGGTGTCAGTGTTGTCGATTTTTCATTGATTTCTTAGAATCTTGTCTGGGATGTTTCCTCCTCGTTGCTGGCGTGGTGTGAAAGCCAGCTTTATATTGATGCTCCCCGTTGCTAGAACAGACCTCCTGCCAATTATGAGTCAAATTCTTTGGAACCCATCCGGCTTTCCAGCACTACCTCACAGATTGTCTTCTCCTTTGTTCCAACCTCACATCACTCAGCAAACCTGGCTTCTTACATGTACGAAAAATATATGATCATGGGGCTTTCCAGTGCCAAGTTGGACCAATGCAACTTCTTCCCACCTAATTTAGAGTGGGCAATAATGTATGAACAGACTTCTGGACCTCAGTCTCTTTATACTGGGGCCTTGAGGCTTATACACAGGCCGACATTTTGGGGCGTGTGGAGCCCAACTTATTGGACAAAACAGGTTCGGAGTGCACCTTAGATGTGTAGAAGAAATTGGAGCCACGTTTTGTTAATGAGAATGATGAAATTGCTAAAAATACAGTAACTGGACACCAAGGAAGAAGTTGCAGTCCAAAGAAGAAGAGGCCTTGGTCACATCTGCACCACAAAATGTTATGATACCACTTTCATAGCCATGAATAGCAATAAGTGTGATGTGAAGCTTTCTCTCATTTTAGGTCAAGTCCATGTTTCCTTTATAGCTCTTTTCCTCTAGGGGTGCTTTGGTTTGGGCTCTTTAAACCACAGCTTAGGACCCTTTGGCTTCCTTATCATTAGCATGACTGAGATGCAATGCCTGCTTCACATCCTCCAGAAGCCCAGCCTGATGTTAGGCAATGTGCCCAGTTGCTTCTTGGAAGTAAGCTTGGGAGATCCCTTCTTCCCACAACTGTTCTCCTTGTGCTGCAAGGCATCAGACATATGACTATATATCCTTCTTGCAGCCCATCAAAGCGACAACCTTCTTGTCTCCAGCAAGAAGTTACAATTTGATCCCCCACCTCCTTTTCTAATTGGTGCTAATCACACCGGAGAGTTTATCTAGTGATTCTGGTTGAGGGAGATTACCCAGGATTCTAGTGTAGGAATCCTCCACACTAAATAAAGTTGCCATTGCCAAGATAAAAGGAACAGCATGAATAATTCAAGCCTCGGTCTTTTTTATCCAGCCCGGCTGTAAATATTTTAATAGTTCTGTGCTAAGGCACGGATACAGAATCTGTAAGTGAATGGAGAGGAAGGAGACTTCTACCACAATAGAGTGTAAGCCAGTCATGCACAGACACCCCCCTCTCATTTAGCATCTTCCACAGCCCTATTTGGGGATTCTAGAAATAATGGATTCCTGTTAATTACGCATACTGTATTTTAATTCCTGCTCAGTACTTTGAGTGCTGTTGTTTGCATGACCAAAACTGCATCTCCTCCACAGAAGTGGGAGGTACCAGCAGACTGAAGATAGCTGGGAGGTTTGCAGAAGTACAAAAAATCTTTAAGGAGTGGGCCTAAATGGGGGGAATCCCCCAAAACATCCTAATAAGAACTGAGCATGCCCAGGGGTCATGGAATGTTGACTGAATGCTGAGCAGAAAATACCTGACAACCTGGTAGGAGGGGGAATGGAATGGAGATGCTAGAAAAGTAGAGTTGTTGTTGTTTAGTCGATTAGTTGTGTCCAACTCTTCGTGACCCCCATGGACCAGAGCACGCCTCCACTGCCTCCTGGAGATTCGTCAAATTCATGTTGGTTGCTTCTATAACACTGTCCAACCATCTTGTCCTCTGTCGTCTCCTTCTCCTTGCGCCCTCAATCTTACACAACATCAGAGTTTTTTTCCAGAGAGTCTTCTCTTCCCATGAGGTGGCCAAAGTATTGGAGCCTCAGCTTCAGGATCTGTCCTTCCAGTGAGCACTCAGGGCTGATTTCCTTCAGAGTGGAGAAGTTTGATCTTTTTGCAGTCCATAGGA